GTAAATACAACATAGCTCAGTTCAGTCGTTCAGTCGTGTCTGACTCTTTGCGACCCCATGAACCGCAGTTCACCAGGCCTCCCTGTCCATCACCAACTCCTGGAGTCCACCCAAACCCATATCCATTGAGTAGGTGATGCCATCCAAATACAACACAAATGCTATTTAAATAGTTGCCAGAATACAGCAAATTCAAGTTTCGCTTTTTGAGATTTTATGGAATTTTTTTCCTGAATATTCTTCATCTGTGGTTGGTTGAATCCACAGAGGCAGAACCTGCAAATATGGAAGGCCAGCTGTGTTTGGTTTTGATTTGAACCCTGTTAACAGCTTCCATATTTTAAAATTAAATTAAGGTGGGGGAAACCCTAAAATTGAATAGATAGAAACACATTGATGTAACTATGTATCCATTTGATAACATAACCACACAGAAGAAAAATTAAGAATTCAAGTAACTTGAAAATACTGTGTTCTGAACATATTTAGTGGAATATATGGAAGAATAAAAATTTTGAACTATATTTAGTAAAACTTGTGCTTGGTAGTAGTATTGGCACAGGAATTATGGAACTAGTTTGTATTTAATGGAGATTAGGCAAATATACTAATGCTACTAAGAATAGAATTCTCACTGTAGTGAAGGAAGATACTAATACAGAACAGGGAGGAAACAGAAGAACTGAATTGTTGGATTACTTTGTGGTTACAAGATAAACGCATGACTTTGTGAAAGCTATTTCCTAGCTCTGAGAACTGACAAGGCCTAGAAGCTGTGACTTCAGGAGCCTTGAGCACACCTAGAGTGTGTGCACTCAATTGCTCAGTCGTGTCTTACTCTTCCCGACTCCCTGGACTGTAGCTCATCAGGCTCCTCCAGTCCACGGGGTTTCCCAGGCAAGAACACTAGAGTGGGTTGCTATTTCCTTCTCCAGGGGGTCTTCCCAACCCAGTGATCAAACCCGTGTCTCTTATGTCTCCTCATTAGCAGGCAGACTCTTTACCACTGAGCCACCTGGGAAGCCCTAAGCACATCTAGCACCCAGATCTTAAATTCTAAATACCATTTCCCACTAAAAGAAAAAGGGAATCTAATGAGTCCAAGGCTGAGGCAGGAAAGGTACAAAATGAGTCCAGAACATCTTTCTATGCCAGCAAGGAGTGAAGTGCTCAAAACTGAAGCTTGGAGGAGTTCCCAGTGACCAAATTGAGAATCACCAAGCATCAGAATGGATAATGACAGGAATGCTATCTTAAATGATACCCATGAGTCCTTACTAGTACTAAAACATAAAATAAAAAGGGAGGTGCAAAAGCTCTTTGTTACTGAAGATTGTCAATAAAGTATATAGACAAATACGGATAGGAAATTGCCATCTGCAACAATTTAGTGATAATGGACTCGGGGAGGAATGGTCACTAGGCACTAAAACACTGGATGAAAGACTGTTGGAGAACAGGATATTCAATCTCTAAGTGTTACTTAATGAATCACATGTTACAGACATACCTCATTTTATTATGCTGCATTTTATTGCGCTTTGTAGATACTGTGCCTTTTACACAAACTGAAGTTTTGTAGCAACTCTGCATTGTCAGATAGTAGTCAGCATTTTTTTAGCAATAAAATATTTTTTTAATTAAGGTATGTACAATTTCTTAGACACAGTGCTATGGCATACTTAGACTACAGTATAATGTAAATGTCATTTTTAAATGCACTGGGAAATAAAAAAACTCATTTGACTTGCTTTATTGCGGTATTCGCTTTATTGAAGTGATTAGGAACTGACCCCACCTAACTTCTATTTACTTGCCTCTACAAGAGAGAAATCTGATGGAACTCACCTTAACCAATTGACATTAACATCTTTGATAATCAGCAAATGGACTGCATCTGCACCCTGATGAGATGCATACCTGTGCTCAGAAAGTCCACATCAGAATTTAAGCATGCACCCCAACACGGAGGGTCATTTTTATAAAACAACTCATCCAGACCCTTCAAAAAGAGCAATGTCATAAAGTTTAAAAAAGAAAAATGTTGGCAACAGTTTAGATTTTTATATTCAAGAGGATTAAAAAAGCATGGGGCTTCCCTGGTAGCTCAGCTGGTAGAGAATCTGCCTGCAATGCAGGAGACCCTGGTTCAATTCCTAGGTCAGGAAGATCCCCTGGAGGAGGGCATGGCAACCCACTCCAGTATTCTTGCCTGGTGAATCACCACGGACAGAGGAGCCTGGCAGGCTACAGTCCTTGGGGTCACGAAGAGTCGGACAGGACTGGGCAACTAAGTATAACACAGCACAAACAGGCATGAGTACCAAGCTTGATGTATTGTCCAGGACTGGCTTCTGGACCCCATCTGAAAACAGTCTTTTATCAATGCTATACTTCCTGACTTCTGAAAATGGTGCCAGGGCTTACTGGAGACATATTATTCTTACAAGACCTATGTTGAAATATTTAGGGTTAAGGTGTTGTAAGAGCTGCAATTCTCAAATGGTTTAGCAAAAAACAACAACAACAAAGTAACTGGGTAGGTGTGTGTGTTTGTCTCTATAAATAGAGTAAAGTAAACCAAATGTGATAAAATGTTAATGACTGGCGATTCAAGGAGAAAGGCACGCAAGTGTTCACTGTACTGTGTTTGCAACTATTCTAAAGATTTTAAGTTTTCCAAAATTTAAGAAAATTAGTAAGAACTATTAACCACTTCCATTTCCCTTGTTCTGCACTACTAATCTCTGTATTAGTAAATGTTCACCACCACCCAACAACTACACATTCACTGCTTTCTTTCTTCACTGTTTCTCCCCCACTCTAATAATGGTAAGCTTCCCTGTGCTGACACAGAGCTGACAGTAAGTACGTGTTGAATGACTGATGCTCACAATCATTCTATGAAGCAGATGTTAGTATCCTTTCTCTCACGTGTGTGGTGCTCTCTCTTCAAAGGCAAAGATACAGAGTCACAGAGAAGTGAGGTAACTTACAGAAGTTTTAACTGTGAGGGGCGGGGCCAGGGTCTGAGATCCAATACTGTTCATCACTGTTAGGCAGCTTTCCCCACTGAGACCAGCTTGGTACCCAAAGGGGTCACTATCTGCAGAGATATAGTTTCCCTTAGCACAAAGCCTCTTCAGAGAAGGTAATATTAATGCTTGCAGAACCAAATGACCTCTGAATAAATAAATGAATTAGGTGGGAGAGACCACCATGAGGGGACTGTTGAGATAGTCTTCCTAGAAGAGGTGTGGCTAGATGGGTAGACTGAGTTTTCAGTGGAAAAGAGCATAGCAACAGGCAGTGGCGGCCAAAGGTGCGTTCTGAGACCAGGGAGAGACCCGCACATCTTGAAGGAGTTACCTCATCCATTCAAGCTCGGTATGTGCTTCTTCCTCGTGCTGACACCTGTGGCCTATGAAACCCTCACAGCCTTTGGGGCCTGTGATGGGACCTGTCCTAGCCCCCTCTGCCTCCACTCCCTCTCAACTACAATCTTTTCTCTTCATTGCTGCCAGATTATCCTAAGAGGATGGGTCTGCTCCTGTCAGGCCCAGAAACAGGTCTCCTTTGCCCACAGGAGAGAATCCCAGCTCCCAAAGGGGACTTTCGGGGTACCCCATGGGGCCTCAAGATCCCACCGGCACACCGACTCCCCAGGACACTGATGGCTCCCTACTGCCAAAGTTTACCCTCTACACTCTCCTCCTCTTTCTTTCTTGATCTCCTCCTCCTGGCATCTTTTCCCACATCATGGCATGATACCACCTGTCCTCGGAGGCTAGGTTCAAACTCCTTTCCTTCCAGGAAGTTTCTGCTTCACGGAAGATATTTGCTTTCACCCAAGATGCGGCTGTCTTCCCTCTGCACGCCCGCAGCACTTTATATTTACCTCTCTTACAACATTTACTTCTGTGCCTTACATTGTAGGTACATTTGAGCATATGTCGAGCTCCACAACCCCCACCTCCACCCAGGTTGTATCCATAGACGCATGCATCCCACAGGCACTCAGTCCACTCTGAAGGCAGAGAGGAGAGGAAAGGCTGCTCAGGTGTGTGTGCCAAAGGGCCAGCGGGGGATTCCAAGTAATAGTTAAGGGGGCTGTTACTATGCTCCAGGGGGGTGGCTATGACTTAACGAGGGGCCTGTGTGGGGAGAGGTTGATAATGTGGCTGAGGAGGTAAAAAAATGGAGACAGAGATACCTATCTTATGGGGCTGTCGCGACGATTTAACTGAAGAAGTGAGAAAAGGATGACCATAGTCCCAGACACTCACACGTTCGTCCTTTTCTGTTCGGAAGGGAGGGGAAGCAGCACTAGCCACACTACTCAGAAACTCCGACTAGAGGCCCTCTGCTTCCTGCTGCGAGGCGACTCTTAACCACCGCCATCAGCCAGGGCGCGGCCGCGGGACAGGCGCGGCTGCACTTGGCTTTGGCCGCGGCGCGCCCACCCCGGGGCAGGAGCCGGCGCGCGCGCACACAGCGAGATCCACTGCCAGTGGAAGCCCGCCCCGGACAAGCTCGCAGGCTGCGGAAGCAGTAAAAAAAGAGATATGCTCAAGTTCTGGACGATGGCGCCTCGGGAAGTAGTAACTTAGTCACTGGAGTCGCGCAGAAAAGGCACCCCTTCCAGAAGAACACGGGGTGGAAGACGAGCGGGGGTCGGGGGTCGTGGGAGTTAAGAAGGGTTCCCAAAGGGAGGAAAGCGCGCAGGGGAGGTGAACGAGCCGGAGTCTGGTTTCTTTTTCCCAGACCTCAGAGCCTGAGGAGCAAGTTTCTTACTGATCACCCTACGGTGATTTGTGGACGACACGACCAGGTCCCGCGCACGTGCCCCCCGCCACCTTCGCCACCCGAACTTGCAGCCGCCTTGGGCCGCGCCCGTCCACCGGGCCCGGGGCCCGGAGCCCGGGGCGGGGTGGGGGTGGGGGGCACTGACACCTCGCGCTCCCGGTCCCCGTGGGCTCCCGGAGGAGGCCTCCACTCACCCAATTTGAGGAACAGGCAGACCACTCCAAGGGCCCCCACGGTCCACCCAGGGGCGCTCCCTGCGGCCATGGCGGTCTGGGCAGTTTCTGCTAATGGGCCGCAGCGGCACAACTCGGCCTGCCGGAGGGCCAGCCCCACTGTGCGCCGCGCCCCGCCCCGCCTCGCGCGCCCCGCCTCCCGCGCGGCGGGCTGGCACCGGATGCAGTCTGGGCGCCGCTCCTTTCCTCTTCTCGCGGACTCGGTTCGGGTCCCAGTCGTTCCTGCCATTCCGCCGCCACCCGCTTTGCTCTGTGGAGCTCTTTAGCAAAAGTGGCGTGCGTTTTTACAACCAGGGTTATCCTCGTTCCTCCCGCGCTTTTCCTTGGCATCTGGAGCGCGATGGAGGCGCCCCCGCAGCAGCTGGGGGTATCGGACTGTCGCTTCCCGAAAGCTGCGCCCCAATGGTCGGGAGGTGACACGAGAACTCTGGTGGGACATGGAGGTTCCGAAGCGCTTTATTCTTTCAGCGCTTTGCAGCAGCTGCAGCCGCGCAGTTTTACCTGCCGGTTAAGACGGTGAAGAACCTGCCCACAGTGCAGGAGATCCAGGTTCGATCCCTGGGTCGGGTAGATTCCCCTGGAGAAGGGAACGGCAACCCGCTCCAGTATTCTTGCTTGGAGAGTCCCATGGACAGAGGAACCTGGCAGGCTACAGTCCATGAGGTCGCAAAGAGTCGGGCACGACTGAGCAAGTAGCACACACACTCCCCTTTTATGACTCTAGATAAAACAGCCTCTTTGCACCACTCTTTCCTCAAATATTAAAACGAAAGGAAACGGGACGTGTTAGACAGCTGCTAGAATGTGTAGCATTCCCCGGTGCAGCCCCAACCTCCCCAGCCCTCTCAAGTGCCTATCTTTCCTCATTGCCGTGCAGTCACCTTTTCCTTAAGACTGACTGCCACCCCAGCACTCCCTTACTCGGAGCTGGGATTTCCAGCCTCGGGTTTCTCCCTTCTCCATTTGCTTTGTTTCACTCTTCCTCCTTCTTAACGGTGGACTTGCCCTCAGGCTGAGGAGTCAGAGCTGCTCACTCCCTCAGTGTTTGGCCTCCCCAAATCTCTGTCCCTCAAGCTGCAGTGGGCACTTGCACTCTCCATCTTTTTGGCTAGTCCTCTGGCCTCAAATCCACCTGCTGATTCAGCTACTACTGTATTCCCAGAACCAGCTCCTGGCATGGGCCTCCCTGACAGCTCCCTTTCTTTCAGATAGAAGTGCCAGAGTGACCTCTGCTCAGCCACTGTGGCTCAGGGGACTGTTCCTTACCATGTGAGCATGAAACTCCTCCCATGAACTGAACTCATGAACTGGATTCTCTGTTGTCCTAACAAAACCAACCTGTTTGCCAGTTGTGAAAGAGTGGAAATGTGCTTTATTCTTGCTGTGATTGCCATCATCCTCAGGTGGGGACCCCAAAACCACTCAAGATACTTGAACTACACTGTAAGTATCCATAAATTATTTCTTAAATTGGCCATGAAACTGTAAAAGGTGTCTATGTCTGTGAAATTTCTGGGACCAATGTACCATACCTAAGCTACCCTTAGGCATTCCCTGTCATCTGAAGATAACTTGGAACATGAGGCAGGTATAGTGTGTAGCACAGAAAGTGAGAAGGTCAAGTTTCTCCTCTACTCTGGGCTGGTAAGAATTCAGTTTAACTTGGAAAGGTAAGATGGAGTCAGACCTTTAAACTCTGGGGAGCCCCTCAAAGGTTTTGAGCTGGGAAGTGATATAACAGCAAACATCCGTTGAGTACTTACCATGGGCCAAGCCCAAGTGCATTACCTGCATTAATTTAATCTTGTTGATGTCCCTGTCTTCACAGATTAGGAACCCGAGGCTCAGAGAAGGTAAATGACTTGCCCAAGGACACACAGCAAGGCAGAGAACTGGGAGTCCAACCAAGCTTAAGTCTAAGCTTAAGTCTTATTTACCCTTTCATATAGGATGGGCAGCTATACTGCTGTTTGGACTGGGCCAGCGAAAAGCTGTCAACCCCCTCTGAGCAGGGACCCCCTCTGAGTAAAGGACCACCAAGTCACCTGGGGCTGGGGAGCATCCCCAGGTCATGGTCTCCAGGTACCAAGTAAGGAATGGTTCATTAAGTCTTCCTTGGTTGGCCATGTCTCTGGCCAAATGAATGATGTCAGTTCTTTCATTAAGAGACATGCTGTGGTTCCAACAAACATTTTTAGATATACACTTTAGATATATGCCTAGTAGCAGACTTGATAAATCAAATGTGGCCCAGAAAGGCTGGACCTGCAATGCATCAGGCAGATGGCCAAAAAGGCCCTATCCATCTACTGAGGACTGGATGTATTTTACATCCTGTGACTGGTGTGGAGAGGTCCAGTTTTATCTGCTTGTCACTGTAAAGAATCATGGACTAGAAGAAAGGAGGGCTTATTCAGTCTGCTTGTGTGGCCTGGATGGGCTGCTGCTCTTCCCAGCATGTCACCCTCTGGTTCTCTCGTTCTAGTTCCTGCCAAACTCAGAACCACACCCAGGAAGCTTAGGAGTCCTAGACAGACAGAGCAAAACACTGCTCCTAATCCTGCATACATGAAAATGGTCCTTGCCCCTATGTGGAAGTGTACGTTCACTTTATTTAAATAAACACTGGGCAGATTAGCACCAAGAGGGTGTGTGTATGTGTCGGGGTAATTTTTATTCTGTAATATTCTGTTTCCCTTTTTCAAATGTTCCCCAGCAGAAAAGATAGCGTTAGGAGAAAATTAGTCGAAAATAATACATAAGACTTAACATGGAACCATTCTGGGTGCCCAAGAGATAAACAGTCACATTTCAACTCCTGGCCAAGCCAGCAGCTGCAAGAAGTTGATAAGCATGCAGCAAATGGGGCTGGGGAGCAGAGGAAAGCACATATTAAAAGTCTTTGAAAGGCCTGAGTTTTAAAAAGAAAAAGAAAAGAAGAAAAAAAAAAGGAAGTACCTCCTTTTGCTCTTTACCTCCATCTAGTTCCTTCTGCACATTGTGTGAATTTTGAAGAATTACAGTTGGGTTCTGACTAACCATGTGTCGCTGCTGAAGCCTTCATCATGCTGTCATTCTTCCCAATTTGCAGATGTGGCGAACTCCCCCCACCCCCAAACCTCCCATTTGAGTTGTGCAGGGAACAGAGACGGGTATGCTGTGTGGGCTCACTGCACAGGAACCCACAGCTCTTGGGTTTTCTTCTGTCCTGGAAGAGGTGTGCTAAGCATTTTGTGGTCAGGACAGTACTAGAGTTGGAGGAGGGTGGTGAGGTCCTGCTGTCAAGCCCAGGCAGAAGTTTTTCCCCAGCCCCTGCTCTTCTATCAGTTTCCTCTTGCCATGTCCTATCTCCCCACTTCTACCCCACCCACCCCCACCCAAAAGAAAGCTAGATTCTGAACTGGCCCCTCTGGCCTCTGGGTATGTCAAGACGACTCTGGTCTTGACAGTCAGGTTAGAGGTCTACGTATGTATGCTTGTGCATGCTCAGTCATGTTGGACTCTTTGTGACCCATGGACTATAGCCCATCAGGCTCCTCTGTCCATGGGATTATCCCAGCAAGAATACTGGAGTAGATTGCCATTTTCTTCTCCAGGGGATCTTCCCAACCCAGGGATTGAACCCGCATCTCTTGCATCTCCTGCATTGGCAGGCGGTTCTTTACCACCAGTGCCACCTGGGAAGCCCTATGTGTGTGTGTGAGTATGTATATATATATGTGTGTGTGTGTGTGTGTGTGTATATATATATATGTGTGTGTGTGTGTATACACATATGTACATACATACACATATTTATTCTGTCAAATATACATATGTATGTGTGTGTATGTATATATATATATATATATAAATATACATTTTTTAGCAGCCGACAGTAAAGTGTCTTGAGGAAGGGTTGCTTTTTATCCTGTATACAAAGGTGCCACTTGGGCTGGGGGTGGGGTGTGATAATAAAGGCCACAATTCACAAACCCTGAGTTTAGCAAGCCAATGTCAGGGGTAGAACTCCAGGCCCCCAGGGCACAGTTCCATAGCCAAGAGTGGCTGATTATGTGACGAGAAAGAAGGACAGTGGACTCAGTCAATGTAAACAGCCGTATTTTCAACATAATTTACTACAGGTCTCTGAAGTGTATATAAAACATTTTAGTGCAACATCTTACAAATAGTTTTCTTTTAAAAAAACAAACAAAAAACAAATCAACAGCTCTCTACATCATGCATGGGTAGTCTGTCTACCCTACTTTTTTTTTTCTTCAACAGTAAACGCAGAGAAACCATTGTTTGAAAAAAACATGAAAACTTGCTACAGAAACCCCCTAGGGAAAGAGGGTGTGGTCATAGCCATGTCCTGGAATGGGCCTAGCACAGTGTTGTTTTTTATTAATACAATATTGTAGATGCAGATAAGCCAACAGAACTGTTGGCTGTTCCTCTCTGGGTCTCTCCTGTAGGCAACTTGCAATGAGGTCTCCCAGCCACTGGAGGCCAGCATTACCACTCAGCAGATGCCACATATCCACAGAAATGGCCAAAAAAGAAGGTCCTTGGGATTTTCATAGAAAGCAGAAAAGCTCACCCTTTGATGGTACCCCCTGGCCCAATTGAAAATGCACAAGGAACAAAAAGAAAAAAAGAATTATTAAAATACTGGCTTCGGTTTCTTTTTTCCTTTCAAATCTCCTGGAAGTGCTTCACTTACTTATATGCAGCACTGGCTTTTCTTTTTTCCGTAAACCTATTCAAACGCAAGTCTTTATTACATGTCCCAGTTCCAGCTAGCCCTCCAGCATCTTTCCATTCAGACAGATGGAAAGTACATCATCTTCTCATGTTGACTCAGTCTATAAATGCGGGGCCAGCAATTTCCCATCGAAAGCCCACACCCCGACCTGAAGAAATGGAGCCAAGGGCCATCTTATTTCCTCACCACTGCGCCTGTTCTGCACCTCTATAGCGTTGATGCAGCACAAGAAACGGGGATGAGCATGTGAGGCGTTGGTGGGATTAAGGTGGTGGTGCCTACACAGAGTCGCGGGAGAGGACTGGTATATCTGGGAGGGAGAGAACGCAGCCTAT